CCAAGCCAGAGGGGTGGGGCCGGGTCCCTACTCCCCGCACCGAGGAGCCGACTCTGGGCAGCTGTGGCCCGACAGTTCTCTGGGGCGGGCCGGGAGTGGCGCGCCCGGACGGGGCGACAGGGCGCACTATCCTCCCTGCGACTCTGGCTCGGTGGCTGGAGGAACACCGCAGCTCTGGGTGCCGCGCTGTGGCTCCTCCAGCACCCGGGCTGGGGCCTCCGCAGCCCTTTTGACCGCTGAGGAAACAGACACCCCGAGTCGCTGCCCTGAGTCCCGGGTCTGTCTACGCCGCCGGGCCCTCCCTGGACTGCGGCCGGAATGCTTGGGGTCGCGAGTGGGGCTGCTTCTCCCCTGGCCGCAGAGTGCTCGGCTCTCCAGGGAGCCAGTGGCCCTGGGTGCCGGATGGGGGGCCGGAGTGCGGTTTGGAAGGCCCAGAGAGCATTGGGGGCGCCCGGGGTGCGGGGTGAGGGCGGCCTCTTCTCCATGCTCTCTGGCGGTGGGTGTCTCGGTGCCCTCCCCATGCGTCCTGTCCTGCCCGGCGCGCGGGGGTTCCCAAGCCCCGGACGCAGCCCCCCAACCCCCCAGGACGCCACGGCACGGGACACCCTCCCCCAGTGCCCCAGTCCCTGGTGTGTAGGCTTGATAACTTGCTCAACTTGCCTGCCCGCCATCTCTGCGCGCTCCGAGGCTGCGCCCCTCCGCCTTCTACACGGCTCCCACGCCACGCCCTCCTCCTGCGCTCCCGGGAGCCGCCCCCTGGGTAGGATCAAGGGAAACGCCCCTCCTCCGGGGAAAGTGCCGGGGCCGCCGGCGGGGAAGGAGCGCCTCTCGGCCTCCGCCGCTCGTGCTGGTTGCCGCCGGGGTGGAGAGGTTCGCGAATGCCACCTCCTGGTGCTGAAGGAAAAGTCCTGCCTGGGAAGGCGGCGGGCACTTCGGCGCTCACACTTAGACGCTGTGGGAACACGCAGAGCGCGCGTTTGACAGAGACCTTTACTTAGTCAACGCTGATTTATTGGGCACCTACTAGGTGCCAGGCGTGCTCTGGGAGAGCCACGGGAAGGCAGCGAACTCCACCTCTGCGCCCCGCCCTGCCCCGGGGAGGAGTGGGTAATCAACAATAAACCAAAAAGCTTCCGGAAGGCGCTGCCGGGGGAGCAGGACCGGCGACCGCTGGGAGGGCGGTCAGGGGAGGCGGTCCTCCTGCAGGGCCAGCCAGGCCAACAGGTGTCCAAGCCCAGGGGGGGCCAGAGCCCGGCCGGCAAGGGGGGGAGGGGGGGCGGAGAGGGAGGTGGGTAAGGGCGCTTGCACCTAGAAGGAGCTTGGATTCTATCTCCAACCACACAGATACCCCTGGAGTTGGCAAAAAACCTTGTCAAAGGAAAGAGTCATTTTGCGGGGCTGGTAAGTCATGGAGCTCCCTGCTCGGTGACTGCTCGGTGGCTTCCTGCAAAGGGCAAAGGGCCCTGGCTTTGTCCTCCCATGTGTGAGCAGTTCTCAGCCTCTGGGAGCTTGAGGAGGTGACCACACCTGGGGGCGGATTCAGGGGGCTGCTGACCCAGGGTTGGTAGGTCAAGAGAACCAAGTGCCGCCCGCAGCTCTGGGATGAAGGGGCAGAGGCGCGGTCACCTGGGCCCTGGAGCTGCAGGAACTCCCAGGTTCTGGAGATGCTGAAGGAGCCCTGCTGGCGCAAATCCCACCCGCTCCCAGCAAACGCCCGGGCCACAGGGAAAGACCAGACCCCTGCCCATCCCGCTGGACGCCCTCCACTGGCTGGCCCCAGGAAAGGCGGCTGGCGGACACCCGTCACTGCGCAGGGGCGCGAGTGGAGGCTGCCCTGCTCACTCCCAGCGCCACCAGGGCAGTGACTCTCGCTGTCTGAAGGCAGCGAGAGCACTGAGTGCTGAGGGTGTGCGGGGCCTGGGGTGAGGGGCACGGGTGGCTGGTAGGGGAGACCCAGCTGGTCACCGGGCCCCGCCTCACCCCTCTCCCACCTGCATTAGGGCCCAGTGCCGCGCACCACGCTGCAACTCGGTCTAATCCCCACGTAGTGACCCGTGTGCCTCGGACTGAGGCCCCCTGTGGCCTCGCAACCCTCTGACCCCCACACTGGTCCGTTTGCTGCCGCCCTGCCTTCCACCGGCCCCCGGACCACTGTCCCCCGTCTTCCTGTGGCTCACTTCCTGCTCCCTCGGCTCTGGGCTGGACCCTCACCCCCAGCCTCCGCTGCACGGCAGCACCTTCCAGAGAGGCAGCACCTGGGTGCAGGGCCCCCGTGCTCCGGCCACCTGGAGGGCTGAGGAAGTGCTGCCGAGCCAGGGAGCGAACGTGCCCCCAGGCCCGGGCTTCGGAGGGTTTCCCGGAGCCCGTGCTGCCCCAGGGAGATGGCGCCGCTGAGAGGCTCCAGACACCCTGAGCCGAAGGGCACCATGGGCACGTGCGCCCCAGAGGGACGCCCGTGGGAAGATCCCGGCGAGACCCTGGGAGGCGGGGACTGTTGGTGGTGGGAGGGGCCTGGGAGCTGGCAGGCCGGGGGGCCCCAGCTGCCCCGCTCCCCCATCTCTGGGGGCCTCCTATCCCTCCCCCATCCTCTGTGATGCTCTGGCTTCACTGGACTTGAAGCTCCTCCCCCAGCCTGGGCCGGGTGGGCGTCTCCCACCTTGCAGAGCCCCTCCCCACACCCCCAGCTCCTTCACTTCTTTAAAGGTTATGTATTTTGATAAATGTAATAGCCCTAGAGGAGTGTACGGAGCTATACTACGCGTTCTTGTCACAAACCCGAGTCTCTTTTACCATTTAGCTGTGCTGGCCTCACCTTTCTCCTCCTGAAGGAAGAGCCCGTCCGCCAGGTTGGGATCTGACACGGAGGCTGGGCGTCCACCAACACGCTGGTGTCCCAGGACCTGTGGCTGTGCAAGCCTCCGGTACTGGGCGACTCGGCCTCACGACTCTCTTTGGGGCACGTGGCCACAGGCCTCTCGTGGCTGCTGGGAGGTACCCACATGTGAACGAACCCCTCTGTTGATTTAGGTCCAATTATTTTCATTCTCTTCTCAGGCAGCTTCTTAAGAGGGTGGCACACTCCACCCTCCCTGGCCAGTGCTTCTGGGCTCAGCGGGGCTGCCCTGTCTGATGGGCAGCCTCGGGGTTCAGGCGCCTGGCCTCTGCACTGGGGGCGGCACTGGCCATACTCCCACGGCTGCCGGAGTCCGCGTGCCTGGTCCTCCTCCCTCCTCCTTCTTCTCCTTCCAGGGTCCCTCCCCCAGGTCTGCTACCCTCCACTCATCTCGCATTCGCCACGTGAATGTCCAACAGGCATCAAGGCTGTGCTGCCTCTTCCCTTCCAGGTGTCCTGCAGGGTCCTTGGTGCAGGACAGGCTCCAGCCCACCAGGGGCCCAGGCTGCTAAGAGCTTGAGTGAAGGAATGGCTGGATGAATAACTCCCTGGCAGAGAGGATTTGGGGCTGAGGAGGGAAACGTCCGTGTGGGTCTGGTCCAGGCCAAAGGGGCGGGCGGACCCGCCCCCCAGTCCCCCCTCGCCCCGCCCCCAGGCCCGCCTGGCCCCAGCTCTCGGGCACCTTTCCTGGGTCGCCGTTTTGCTCTGCTTTCCTGCTTCTCGGTGGCGCCTGGCTCTGGGTTGGAGAGTGTGGCCACCTTCCCCTCAGCCACACCCAAGCTGGGCCTGGCGAGGGCTCTGGCCCCCTCTCCACACCCGGGAGCGGGGCCACCACTCCCTCCGGCTGCGGAGGGCCGGGCTGGGGCGTGCGCCCCCAGATGTTCTCACCCGAGCTGGAAAGCTTTCCCCAGCCCATGGCTGTGGAAACGGGAGCCAGGCGAGGGGCCCCGGGAGGAGGTGGCCTCTGCCCTGACGGCAGGTGGCAGGCACCTGGCGCCTCGGAAGCACTCTTCTGGGGTCCCAAGACTCTTGTCTCCCTCAGGAAAGGACAAAAAGCGGCAGCTGTGAATCCGCCCCCGAGCTCAGCGCTGGGGCCTCACGGCACCAGATGCGCTGTCGTGGGTAATGAGCTCTCTCCCGAGGCTGCTCTCCCGGGGGTCTGACCGCGTGCCAAACACGCTAATTGGACGCCAAGTACACGATCTGTTTTAGGGCGTCTGCTCCAGCACCTTTGCTGTGCTCCCAGGATGGGCTCGGACAGCACTGGCCAAGGAGACGCTTCTGGAAGGGCTCCTGGCTACACTCCAGGCCGCTCCGGCCCCAGGGTGGGGCTTCCTGGTGGGTGAGGGATCCAGCTGTGCCGTGGCCAGTGCCCTCCCATCACCCCCCCACCCCGCCGTGCGGGGCCTGGGCTTGGGCCTCAACGTCTTTGTCCTCGTACCCCCAGGTCTTTATTAAGTGCCTTTCATGGCGGAGAGGGGCAGACGGCAGGCAGATTAATAACCGAGCCTGACAGACGCAGGGCAGCATTGCTGACACGGCGACCCCTGCACTGCTGCTGAGGGCGCTTGCGGCTACCTGGGGGAGGGGCAGCTTCCCTGGAGACCCGCCCAGGAAGTGGGGTTCAATCTTCAGGGGAGGAGCTGCCTATGATGGGAACCAATTTGCACTTTTAAAGGGCCACTGGGTGGCGGATGGAGGGCTGGA